TGTGAGGAATGCGCCTTACCTGAGCTCTGCTCAGCCCAACTGACTGTGCCTGTTCTGAGCCAGCCCCTCGCTCGCTGGGGCCTCCCTGTCTCCAACGCCCGCCCAGGCCAAGGCCATGGGCTCAGGGCCCCCAGAACGAAATAGAGAAATTGTTTATTTTAGTAACTGCCTGGTCTCTCTCAGCTCTGGAGATGGAGTAAGTTAGCAGTGCGCTATTTTCCGGTGATGTCTGCGGAGCGGGCCTGCGCGCCAGGTTACCAGGAAGCACGGGACCACAGCGAGTCCTGCTGCAGCTCTGCTGGTGGCCCCCTGGCCAGTGAGGGCCCCCGCCTGGGCTCTTCCAGGTGCCTTCCACCACTGCCCAAGCTGGGTGATGGCGCTCCAGATCCGGGACACAGCTGCCCAGCAACCCCAGCTCCTGTTGCCTCTGCCCTCAGTTCAGTTTGGAGAAATGACAGAGCTGTCCCTGCCCCACACCCTCTTTTTTACTGTTAAGCCAAAGGGAAGCACAAATTACAGGAAGCCCAGGCAGAGCGCCAGGAGGAAAGAAGCCAGAATGGGTCTCCTGCCTGTGGCCCTGTAAGACCCGCTGCTGTCCCTGCTGAAGGGTTGCTCTCGGTGGTCGCTGCAAGCCACAGTGACACTCACCCACTCAGCCCCCAGGGGCAGGACACCACTGTCAGCACCACAATGGTCCCACCCCGCTTCATCCTTCACCCAATGTCACTCCTTCAGATTCTCCGGGCCATGAGGGGACCAGTCTCCAATCCCAGCCACAGAGTCAGAAGACTGGGCCATCTGCTTCTTGGGCTGAGTGTCCGGCAGAGACACACACATTCCACATGGCCAGACTGCTGCACGGCCGCCCTGCGGCATCCAGTAGGCCTCGCCAGCTTCTCTGTGGGCAGCTCCCTAGGGACTGCAGGACTGGGACCGGGTGGCATGTACCTTTCCCCTGTTCCCATCTCTTTCTCACCCCCACTTCCCCCAGCTACTGTCAGTCCAAGCCATTGGTATAACAATTCCTTCATTTAGGAATTAAAACCCAATGAATCAGCAGTAGTTTGTTCTCTGGAATCGTTAACATGCTCTGCTTACATCCATCAATGCACTTAAGGAAAACCACCCAATGAATTAAAGCTCATCTTAAAGCTTGTGGCAAAAAAAAAAATAGAGTACGATACAATTAAGTTATCTGCCCTCTTTGGATTGCATATATAATATGTTGACATTTGAATGTATTGGTATTTGTTATATATGCATATTTCCTTAAAAACTTAGCATCAAAATCAGAGGAGAAATATATTTGATATAATTTAGGCATTCATGTAAATAAAGATGGTTTAATTCCACAGGGATAGTTTTGAGTCCACATTTACGATATCACAATTTTAAATAGAATTATGCTAATCCTAATGATTTTTCTGTGAAAAGATGTGTGGTGTGAATTCCATTATTGCCATTTTAATTCTATACTAGCTTTTCACACTTGTTACTTATGTATATAAAATTTTATTGTAATTTTTATTGGAGTTAAAAGTTGATATATGTTAAACAGTGTCTACTCTGAATTATTTGTTATTGGTTCAAAACATGATAATTCTTGAAAACAGTAAAACTTTAGAAAATTTATAGCAATTTGATGTTATAGCCCCATTTTTAATTTTTTAAAAGTGTGAGTTGGCAATGGATTGGCAAAATAAACCTTCACTACAGCTGATTTGAGGAGTACTTTTTTTTTTTTAACAAATGCACAATTTTATTTATTTACTTTTAAGTTTAAATTCTTGAGGGGTACAGCATCCCACGGATTCTGTGTCCAACAGCCTTAGCAGGTAGGTTGCTCCGGAATTTGGCCCGAACCATGCCACTGTTTCCATGGGCCCAAGTTACCTTTCCCCAGCTGACTCTGGTTCTGTTAGGTTTGCCGCCAGGAGCCACTGTGTTGTTCTTTGCTTTGTACACATAAGCACATCTCTTGCTTAAATAAAATTCCGTTTCATCTCGGGCGTAAACACCTTCAATTTTAAGAAGAGCTGTGTGCTCCCTCTGGTTCCGTAGACCCCGTTTACAGACAGCGAAAATGGCCTTGGACCACAGCCTTCCAGACATAGTTGCCGTTTAGAAGTCCTGTTCCCAGCAGGCCTCCACAGGCTCCAATATGGCGGGAGAAGTACTGTTTTAAAGACCATTTTTCTTCTCATATTCTACCCATGTAAAATTTTACTAATATTAGCTTTTTCCATTGCCAGCTTCCTCTTTTGGCCTTCATTAAAAAATTATCTGTAATATTTCCATTTATTATAAACTTTACCTAAATTGACTTGTTTTGGAATTTGCATACACTTGGATGCTTTTTTTCTTTAATCATTTTATTGGGGGCTCGTACAATTCTTATCACAATCCATACATCCATCCATTGTGTCAAGCACTTATGTACATTTGTTGCCCTCATCATTCTCAAAACATTTACCTTCTACTTTAGCCTTTAATATCGGCTGCTCATTTTCCCCCTCCCTCCTCCCTCTCCCCTCCTTTGGCCTTCATTTTTATGAGTTTTTGTTTTCTTGGGGCAAATTTTATAGGTCTAAGTTTTGTAAAGATTAAAATTTTTTGCAATAAATTTTTTCCTTATTTAAAAATAAATGTATTGTGCTAAAATATATATATCACAAAATTTATGTCATTTTAACCTGCATTAAATTTTAGCTAATAGCAATGAAAAATAGTATTAATAGTTTTAATTTATGTCTTTCCTATCACACTTTTTTCCTGGACCAGTTTTGGCCATTAATAAGATCTTCTCAGGTGTCAGTAATCATGTTTTTGTTGTGCACCTATGAAGTCATTGTTCATGTAATGATGTTAGCAGAGAAAGGTGAATGGCAAAAGCCAATAATAGCTGGCTAGACTTGTCCACTTCAGAAAGGTTGCAAAAGTGGAGAGAGGAGGATAGGGGAGAGCAGACTGAGGGGACGTGGTAACTGAGGCGAGCAGCTGTTGTAGGCAGAACTTCAGGGAAAGAAATGTATGAAGACGGTGTTTAGAACGTTTGCTGTGTGCTATGCTATTTTATTTCCCTTTTTTCTGCTTACCTCAAAGCCCTTTATAAAACATAAATTACTTCCTTTATAATGATAAAGGAACGCTGTCATTTTGGGGGGATTTATTGGAGTTTTCTTTCCGTCTTACCACTTTTGTGGGATAAACATTAAGCCTACCCTTTTTTGTTTACTTTACAAAAATATAAGATTTGTATGTTTGGAATTTGGCCCCCCCCCCCTCTTTGTAATCATTATTAGGAGAATTTCTTTGTCATTAAAAATTCTTTCTAGTGGGGGTGGCGCGGGGTAAAAGGGAGCCAATATCAAGGAGTCCAGGAAGAAAAAGAATGTTTGGAAACGGATTGTGGTAGTAATTGTACAACACTGCTTGACGTGATTGAACTATGGAATGTTATGATTATATGTATTAACTCCCAATAGTAATAAAATAAATACAAAAAGATTCTTTTTAGACATTTTTTACAACTCCCTTGCTAAAAAAGACTTTTTAATGTCTCATTTATAGTCCGTTGTATGAATACAACAGTAATCACTCAACCATTCCTTTTATTGAACATTTAGATATTTTCATATGTTTGCTGAAGTGATGTGATGAATATCATACTTATCAGTCATTGCATGTGTAATTATTTCCTGAAAAATCATTATTTGGTTGAAACTTGTGAACATTTTTGTCAAACTCTTAATTTATGCTTGCAAAACTGATTGTTTTAAGTTTTGTTTTGTTTTTTAATCATTTTAGTGGGAGCTCTTACAGATCTTAATATCCAGTCACATCAAGCAGTATTGTACAATCCATTTGAAAACATTTTCTTTGTTTTTGAACTCCTTGATATCCGCTTCTCTTTAGCCCCTCCTTCTCCCTGTTTTAAGTTATCAGTGACTTTTCACTGAGCAAATATACTACTAAGGAGCAGTCATCTTAAAGGTTATACAGTCATTTTAAGTAGAGAAGTTCCTCTTGATACTATCCATTGTCTCTGACCCCTTATTTTCAGAACAGAAGTAGCTGAGATAAAAGAACTTTATTTTGATATTTTATGAGAATCTATTCCAGGCCTTACCAAATTCTAATGGTCAAAATATTCCTTTTTTCCAGTTATATATATGTGTTCCTTTCTTTTAGGATAGCAATTTAGCAACCACTTGCAGTCTAGTTGATTTTGAGTAATGGTGACCCCCCTGTGTGCCAGAGCAGGACTGTATTCAATAGGGTTTTCAATAACTGAAGGGTTTGCAATGATTGATTTTTCGGAAGTAGATTGGCAGGCCTTTTTCTGAGGTTCCTCTCCATGAATTGAAACCTCCAACTTTTAGTTAGCAGAACAGCTTGCTACTGTTTGCATCATACTTTGTCCCCCCTTTTTTTAATAGTTGAGGGAATAAATTCTTTATTTTTAGTTGGTTCCTCTTTCTCTTCTCTACACTGAGTAATATTATAATAATGATAAATTATATTTATATTGTAATTTTTTTGTTATAAAACACTTTGTGTATATTATTCAATTTAATCTCCATGAAATTCCTGATGAACAGATATCCATCTTTTACCAAAGGAAAAAATGACTCTATTACTAAGAATATAAACCCAGGGCTTCTGACGTTATATCTGGGCTGTTTGAGTGATGATGACACTGCAGATTTTAGAGTTAAGAGTGGTTGACTTCAAAACATAACTCTCACTACTTTACGGGGTTGTATGAGAGGTTCAGTGAAGTAATATGCATAAAGTTCACAGAGAGTTCCTGGCATAAAACAAGAGCTATTACTGCCGCTGGTAGTAACATCTTCACCACACCACTCCTTTCTTCACATTGTCATTGATTTCTAGGGCCAGAGAATGGAAGCTTGTTTCCCTATTAATGGTGTCTCTCTGGGCTAACTGATTGGGCAGCTGTTTGGGAGATCCTGACGATGCTCTTGGTGTATTTGCAGAAGAACAAGACAATGAAGAAAGTGAGAAAAAGCGAAAAAAGAAAAAGGGTACCAAGAGGAAACGAGATGGAAGAGGTCAGGACGAAGGGACTGTGGCTTATGACCCTAAACTGGATGACATGCTTGACCGAACCTTAGAGGATGGCGCCAAACAGCACAATCTAACAGCGGTCAACGTGAGAAACATCCTGCATGTGAGTGGGATGGGGCTGGACAGCTCTGTAGTTGTAAGGGACAGTTTCCAAAGGAAGCAGATAAAATTATTCAGAAAATCCTGACTCTTAGTACATAAATGATTTATTTGTGGGTTGCTGTTGCAAATTATTTTGCATTTCAACGAGGTTTTCTTTCTTTGCACATAGCACATGTTTGAAAGCTTTGTAGGAAAGATAAAACTATTTCTGTTTTCTTGTTCTGCTGTGATTCTTGATTGTAATGTTTAGCAGTTATGTAGATGATAATGCTGACAATAGATTTTTCCTTTTGTGAGTTAAAATGTATGCAAAAATGCCCGATTAACAATTTACTGTACAAAAAACCCCCACAGTTTACTGTACTTCGTACATATCTAAATCCTGTTCTTTGCTATAAAGCAGCACAGCTATGTGCAGTCTGATTACTCATTGTCATATGCCATATGGTTAGTTACCTCAGATCTTCCCTAAGCAACCTGGCTCTAACCTACGAGTGGCTTTGGGGTCTTCGCTGCCTCGTTATTGGAAGCTCTCTCTGCTTCAATCCAGAGCCTGCTTTTGCTGCTTTGCTTTCACCTTAGCTTAAGCCCAATTTGAAGTGATGGGGGATATCTAGCATTTGTTTGTCTTCTACATGTCATGTATCTAGCAGAGATACAGAGAGATGAGTATTGTGTAGAAGACAAAACACTTGTTTCATACAGTGAAATGTCACCTTTCTGCAGGAAGTAATCACAAATGAACATGTGGTAGCAATGATGAAAGCAGCCATCAGCGAGACAGAAGACATGCCAATGTTTGTGAGTACTTGCTTATCACCCTTCCCATGTCATGGAACAGTTACCTGTAAAATGCCTGGCGTAAAAAGTCAGTTCGATACTGAAAAGTAGTTTTACTGCTAGGAGCAAAGCTAGCATCTCAATCCCCAAGAATTACAAACTCAACTTCATTGTTTCCTTCCCACCATCCCCTCCGTAGGAGCCTAAAATGACACGCTCCAAGCTGAAGGAAGTAGTGGAGAAAGGAGTGGTGAGTCTTCTGTTTTTGTATTGCTTATTTCACTTGGAAATTAGATTGAATTTCAGGTTATTTGTAGGGAAAGAAGCATAGGAAATACTTATTGAGGTCTAAGTTTGCCTCTTTAAAGAAATATTTGTAAAAGATAAAGAATATATGAAAACATTATCATGAGTTTTGTTTTTTAAAAAAATAATTTTATTGGGGGCTCGTACAACTCTTATCACAATCCATACATCCTTGTGTCAAGCAATTTGTACATTTATTGCCATCATTTTCAAAACATTTTCTTTCTACTTGAGCCCTTGGTATCAGCTTCTCATCCCACCCCCACCCCCGCACCCTCCCTCCCCTACCAACCCT